GGAGGAGGCAGAGGACAAGGTATGCTGCAGCCTCCCATGCCGTGCAATATCGGATGACTTTCGGGCTGTCCCGCCACCGTGTCTGGGTTGTGGGCCTGGGCCTTCAGGGGAGTTTTTGCGATTCTCTTCCCGACCTCTTCCCGAAGACCGCTTCATGGGGCCCTTTTCCCCACCACTTTCCGAAAGCTGTTTCGTGTCGGGGGTCTCGTGGAAGCAGTTGTGAAGCCTCGTCGGGCGTGTTCTGGGCCCTTGTGGCGCTTCTTTGGGGTCTCTTGGGGGCCTGTTGGGGGCTTGTAGGGGCGTCTGGAGGGCACGTGCGTGCATCTTGTGGCGGTGAACTCGAACTGTCGGTCCTGGCTCCCGCGCCTGGGCTCTTCTCAGGGCCGTCATCGGGCTCTCATGGGCGCCTCTGGGGCCGTCTTGGGGCCCTGCTGGGCCGTCTGAGGCCTTTCCTGGGGGCTTCTTGGGTCGGTCTTGGGCGCCGGAGGCGCCGTTTTCAATGCCGCGGAGGCCGAAGAGTCGTGCATATTGCTTCCGCATATGAATTGGACGAGTTTTGGTGTTCGGGGCCATCTTGGGAGGCTTCCTGGAGGCTTAAGCGTCCGGTTTGGTGTCCCAGGGGGGGGGAAGATGGGGGGGATCGAATTTCGCACGCCTGGAGACCCACAAGGGGTCGGCGGATTTCGTAGATGCCCGACGCGGTGGAGCCTGGAACCCTTCGCAACGGTTCCGCCACAGCGGTCGTGTTCATGATTCTCCGAGGTCAAGTGGTCGTGTATTTCATTTCTTTCGCCACGTTGCATTGCGATTCTAATGTGCACGTAGACCTTTCCTGCAATTGGAGAGCCCACGATGGCCCCGAGAATCACCCCACACGGCCAAATACGGAGTCCAGATAGCTCCAGATAGCCTCTGAGGCGGCCAAGACGCCTCCAAGACATCCCTTGGGAAAGCACGAAGAAGCTAGAATAATCGATTTCCCGTTGGCTTTTGAAGGATTTGCACATACATACATACATACATACATACATACATACATACATACATACATACATACATACATGCATACATACAAACATACATACATACATACATACAAACATACATACATACATACATACATACATACATACATACATACATACATACATACATACATACATACATACATGTGTGTGCATATATTCATTTATCAGAGTGAGGGGGCCGAACGGTCATTCACTGTCCCTGGGTGCGTGGCTGAAGTGGGATTCCGCGGTGCGGATTCTCGCTTGTTGTTGTTGTTGTTGTTGTTGTTTGTTGTCGTCGTCCCACCCGCAACCCGCCCCGCGACCCACCCGCGACCAACCCCGCGACCCACCCCGCGACCCACCCGCGACCCACCCGCGACCCACCCGCGACCCACCCGCGACCCACCCCGCGACCCACCCCGCGACCCACCCCGCGACCCACCCCGCGACCCACCCGCGTCCCACCCGCGCGACCCCACCCGCGACCCACCCCGCCACCCACCCGTGACCTACCCGCGACCCACCCGCGACCCACCCCGCGACCCGCCCGCGGTCCACCTCTCGACCGCCCACCCGCGACCCCCCCACCCCGCGACCCACCCGCGACCCACCCCGCGACCCACCCGCGATCCACCTTCGACCCAAACCACGTTCAAGGTACAAACCGTCATTTTCGGCGCCTGCGGCGGGCTTTCTTTCCATTCCTTCCAGGTGGAGAACCCGCGACCCACCCCGCGACCAACTCGCGACCAACCCGCGACCCAAACTACGTTCGAGGTGCAAACCACATTTTTCGGCGCCTGCGGCGGGCATCTTTTGCATTCGTTTCAGGTGGAGAGCCCGCGGCCCACCCGCGACCACGTTTAGGGTTCAAACCAATTTTTTCGGCTCCTGCGGCGGGCATCTTTTGTATTCGTTCCCAGTGAAGAGCCCGCGGCCCACCCGCGACCCAAACCACGTTCAGTGTACAAACCAATTTTTTCGGCGCCTGCGGCGAGCTGCTTTTGCATTCCTTCCAGGTGGAGGTGGAGAGCCCGCGACCCACCCGCGACCCAAACCACGTTCACTGAACAAACCAATGCCGCACAAGTGTGGCGGCGGATTTTTGCATGCCGTCTCAGCCCGCAACGACCTCTTTAAGCCCCGCGCATCCACACCAGCCCGTCCAGCAACTTTGCCCTGGCGAGTTGCCTTGATCAGAGAAGTCGGGGAGCACAAATTGGAAAACATGATTGCGTTGCCGTTATCTTGGGAAAGGATGGGGAGGCAGGAGGAGTAAGCAGGGGACGAGGAGGACGCGGAAGAAGAGAGGATGTAAGGAGAATGTGGAGAAAGAGAAGGAGGAGAAGCAGGAGGACGAGATGGGGGAGGAGGAGAGGAGGGGGAGGAGGAGGACGAGGAGGGGGAGGAGGGGGAGGAGGGGGAGGAGGATGATGATGGACGACAATGGGAACACGATGATGGAGGCCGATGAGGGGGAGGACGACAATGGGAGGACGATGATGGAAGGACGAGGGGGGGAGAGGGAGGACGAGGAAGAAGAGGAGGAGGAGGACGAGGTGGAAGAGGAGGGGGAGGATGACGATGACGATGACGATGAGGACGAGGACGAGGAGGAGGAGGAGGAGGAGGAGGAGGAGGAGGAGTGCCATCGACAGGGAAGGTGGGGGCCACGAGGTCCGCTGGCTCGAAGCCGCCCGCGTCGCCCGCGCCCGCCCCCTCACTCTTATCCGCAATTGCGGGGTGCTACGTATCCCGGGGGACGAGGGCAGGGGCCCGGGCCCAGCGACCTCGATGGGGCATGGGGGGCCGCCGCCTCCGGAACAGCTCCGAGCCAGCTCCAGACGTCCCGAGAGGCATACCACGAGGTCCCATCACAGATGCAAGAGGCCTCAGACCGCTTCCTTCCCGATCCTCCTCCTCCTCCTCCTCCTCCTCATCTAATATGTATATATATATATATATATATATATATATATATACACGCCCCCTGGGCCCCGACCCCCACCACTGGGACGTCTCCAGACAATCCCCGGTACCGCCCAAGAGGCCAAGGGTCCCAGCATATTCTTTCTCGTCCGAGGCCTCCAGGGGGATAGGGGAAGAAAGAAGGTTGCCAACAATAGTGGGAGTCATAGCAGGAGTAGGATCACAAGAGGGATACTGTCCGTCCTCGGAGAAAAGGGTCCACGAACCTGGCGGTATCAGGATGGGCACGTTTGATGATGTTGTTATTTGTGGGGGCTCAAAATCTGACGCCTCTGAGGAATTGTGATCCACGTGGCGTACATAAAAGGCATATAGTCTTGCCAACAAATCGTGATCTGAGGAGAGTCGTTCTCTGTCGTCACAGTCTGCCTCTTCCTCAGCACCTGGTTCACAAAAAATGCAGCGACTGATTCACGCATACTCTGTAAGTCCCTGACTCATCCGTGGCAGGTAGGTCTTTTTATAGCTGATTTTGAAGGCCCCGTCTTGAGGCTTGCCCAAGAGAGTGTGATGGGTGCCCCTTGGGTGGGAACAACGGCCGTGGAACCTCTGACAGAGCCCAGGGAGTCGGATGCCCAAGAGCCTCGTGGGAGTCTTGCTGATGGTAGTGGGGTCCTGGTCCTGGTGGATGCACTGATCGAGACCACTGTTGTCAAAGGTGGGCCGCCATAACAGCTTGGATGGGGTCCCATTGGAAGCTCGAGGGGGCCTGTGGTTGCCATACTGCTGGTTGTGGATGCTCGGGCCAGCCCGAGGTACTAGCAGTAATATGACAGCCGAGTAAGTACATCAGAGACCACAGGAGCTGATATCCTATATCCAATTGTAGTGATTGTCGTGGCGTAGCTCAGGGAACCCCTCAGAACCATTCGCGGGTGCGGAGCGAGGGGGGCCCTCTCGTGCTATCTGGCAGCACATCAGGTTTCGCAGGGGAAGCCCTCCCTGTGTTCCACACGCGCCGTACAAGGACATGTGAGGCCCAGGCTTATATAGTATCCTGGTTGTGAAGTATCTAGGGAAGAGGGAGGAAGGGGAGGAGGGAGGCGGAAGGACTGGAGACCATAGCGCCTTATTCAAAACGAGAACCCACAGCAGGAGGGTTGAGAATAGTACTGCCAGCACAGGTGCTTCACCCTTTTGCTTCCTCTTGCTCCTCGAGCCGACTGTCGGTGCCGCGTACTGGCGGTGCACGCGGGCTCGGAGGACCCCTCGGTCTGAGTCAGGGGCTGCAACCCGCAGGCCAGAGGGAGCTTAGTTTGCGACAGCATGCTTTTTGGCGTGGCGGGGCCGCTTCGCTTGGAGGGGGCATATTTGATTTGCTCGTTATATAAAGTTAGCGGTCGAGCATGTGAATCAGAAGCCCCGCCCCTGCATGTCGAAACACCGCCAACCTATGTTGTAGTATGTTGTCTCATATGCTACTGTGTAATGGTATAGTGGACTCCAGCTTCGGAGTCGACCTGAAACTAAGCGCGCGCGAAGCACGTGCGTGGGGTTTTCGGGGGCCGGCGCCCTGGTATATCTATATCTATATATATATATATATAATATCCGTAGCCATTTTGGCTCAAGCCAAATGGTTCTCTCTCAAGAATTGCCTTCGCGGGGTAGGCTCCCAACCCGAGATCCAGTTGTTTCCAAGTCCAGGTCCGCCCCTGGCATCCGTGCTCAGAAGTCCAGGTCCGCCCCTGGCATCCATATTCCAAGACCTGGTCAGCCCCAGGCACCCAGTCGCTCTCGCGAATGTCGGCTCGCCGCGGAGTTGGCAACGCTGACAATGCTGCTGCTGCTCACCAACCCTCTGGTGTTGATGCGAGCGAAGGGCTTCTTCAGCGCGGAGGTGGTCGTCCCCCAGATGCCGTCCATCAGCACGACCCCTGGAGAGATTCGGCCGCCCTCTCTCGGGCCGCAGCGGAAGGTTCCAAACGATTGCGTGCTGAAGCAGCTGCTGATCGGAGCGCCGCGTCCAACGCTTCCACTTCCTCCGAGCTGCTTGATCCCATGGGCGCCGTCAACGCCGCCATCAGAGCCTCACAGGACTTCCTCACAGCGCAGCTCGACGCGAAGCTGGCCATTGTCAAGCAAGAGGTCATTGCGGAGTTCGCCACGCAGCTCAGAGGTCCTCTGGGTGCGGTCGCCGGTCAGCAGCAGAAACAAAACGAACAGTTCACAGGACATATCCAATCGCTCCAGGCCGCCTCGACCAAGCTGGAAGCAGACCAACGAGAACCACGTGCTCAAGTTGCAGAAATACGACAGCGGCTACACATGCAAGAAGCGCAGATCCCGATCAAGGATTACGAGAACCTCATTGAGTGGGACAGAGCGGCAGACATCAACATCATCGTCGGCACGGCGGCGGAGAAGTACACGGCGGACCAGGTCAAGAACAGCATCCAACCGATCATGGACAAGTGCGAGCTCAACGAAGGTGACTGGGAGGTGGTCGGGAAGGGCCCCGCTAGACGCTGCCTCATCCAATTCAGTGGTGACGCCAACGCATCCGCTCGGAAGGTCAGGGCCTTCTACAGCAAGCTCAAAGGCCCCGATGGGGAATGGATCAGTACAAAAGTTCAAAGTGTCCACGGACAGTCTACACGTCTCTTCTTCGGCCTCGATCGCTCAGGGAAAACGGCGCGGAGGGAATTCCAGACCAAGAAGTTCACCCACTTGTGCAAGGCACAAGACGCCACGAAGAGGTGGCGAAGTGACCGTCAGCAGGGCATTGTATATTGCAACAACATGCCAGTCCTCTCCATCGTGGTGGGGTCCTCAAAAGATGAGCCCACTCGGTTGCTCTTCAACTACAGCGGCTGCCTCCAACATGGGCTCAACCGAGAGGAAGTCCGCGCGCAGTTCGAACAATTCTTCCAGACCTCGCTTGACGCACAGAACGTAGAGTGGCAGATTTAACAGGACTTTGGCCCCTAGGCGGGGCATACAATCGTCGAAGCCGATTTCTTTCACGGCATGGAACTCGAGGGCACTGCTATGCAGGGACCCCATCAAGAGGAAGAATAAGAGATCGTTCATGATGCAGGTGATGAACTCCACGGCGGCGCTGGCGCTGCAGGAGGTCCACGGCTCGGAGGCGGAGCTCGACCACGAGATTCACTTGGCACGCAAGACAGCGGCTTGCTTCGCCTCCATCCCTAATGGGGGGGTGCTGGTGGCGTCGCGCTGCTTATCCCTGGGCTGTCGCCGACTGAAGCTGCTGATCCAGATCGATTCCGACGCTCGGAGCCCATCCCTGGTCGTGTCCAGCGCTTACAGATCAAGTCGGATGTCTCCGATGATGCAGCGGGCGCGCTCCCCAACATGATCGCGATCTACAACGCTCGCAACTTCCAGCTCACTGCGGGCCAGGTCCAGCGCGCGAGGGGCTCGATCCGCGCCGAGCTAAGCATTGCCGAACAACGGCCGGGGCGGATCACCGTGCTCGTCATGGGTGACTTCAACTTCATGGATGAGGCCCCGCTCGAGCTGACGGCACCGCTGGTCAGTGAGGCCTTCCTCGTCGGCGAAATCACCACCCAGAAACACCAGCTGCTGTGGGGGCAAGCTCTGGGTGACATGGTCGAGGTGGACCCCGGGTTGCCGACGCACTGCACCGAGCACTCGCGGCAGTGCGCGCGGATTGACAAGATTTGCATCAGCTCGCCGCCGTGGCTGCTCATGCAGTGGCGTGCGAAGGTGGACATCCCCGCGGCACCTGGCGCCCTCTTCGACAGGGGCATCTCCGACCACGCCCCAGTTCACCTTCGGCTCGCAGCGCGCGCCCCCGAGGGCAGCGAGCTGCGGCCGATTCCGCGGCACATCTTCGAGATCCCCCTCTTCGCCAAATATTTTGCCCCACTGAGCGGCGCTGCGGACATGGGCAACTACCTGCCCTTCATCCGCCTCGAGGAATTCAAGCGCCTCGTCCGCGAGGCGGCCAGGCTGACGCGCAACGACATGGCAGGCGCGCGCGCCCCTTGCTCGGCAGCTGCCCCGACGACGCGCAGGGCGATCTCAAGGGCGGCATGGAGGAATGACTGGGAGAGCGCTCGCACACTGCATGCTCGCACGAAGCTTGGCGCCAAGTTCCTGGACATCTCAGACAGCAATAACATCGCGCTAATCGAGCCTGGGACTTTCCGCCGCACATTCGCGCAGCATCAGCAGGAGTGCCTGGGCCAGCGGGCAGAGGCCCTGCAGCAGGGGGAGCACGCGAGGGACGCCCACTACCTCAAGAGACAGCGCCTTTCGCAATATGCAGATGGCGATCCAGAAGCGCGGCAAGCTCTGGGCCCCCACTGGCAAAGTGCTTAAGCTCAAGGCCATCGAGGTCCTACATGACCACAGCATCACCGAGAAGCCTAAGGACATGATTGCCGAGCTTCGGCGCCAATGGTCTCCTGCGTTTCAGGCGAAGCCTAGCCGCGCCAAGCACGTGAAACGCTACTTGGACAAGCACACCATCCCCTACGATTGCTCCCAGATGGACATCCCGACGCTAGGCAAAATGGAGAAAATCATACGAAGGCTCAACAACTCGGCGCCAGGTCCTGACGGTATCCCGTGCGCAGCTTGGAAGCGCACCCCCTCGTCGGCGCAGCTCCTACTTGAGGCGTCGCTCGAGGTAATGAACGGTTTCCCCGCCCTGCTGAACTTCAACGATTCGCTCATGATATTCACCCCGAAAGGGTCGGAACCTGAGGATGGGATGTCGGCTGCCAGCATGGCCAAGGCTACGAGACCCTCTCTCCCCGAAGAACACGGACTGCAAGATTGTGGCTGCCGTGGGCAACGATCTGACGAAGCCGATCGCCGCGAAAGGAGCCCACGGTGCGCAGAAAGGCTTCCTCCCGAAGCGACGCTTCGTTGAACGCGCGGCGGCGATGGATGCACAGTCTCGGATCGTCGCCATGCAAGAGGCCCTGACGGACAAAGACCCGCTGATGGTCCTCTACGACTTCGGCGATGCGTTCCCATCGATGTGCAGAGCCTGGCCCAAGATGACGCCGACCTCCCTGACGGCATCCGCAACATGATCGATGCGATCTACCTCCTGCCTATCGCCTTCACCAACCTCGGTGGCGCCAACGAGGTCTTCTGCGCCCTCGCCTCTGGCATTCTCCAGGGGTGCCCGTGGTCGGGGACGCTCTGGGCGGTCGGAATGGATCCGCCGATCAGGAACATGCATTCGCGGATGGCGAACTTCAGAGGGCGTTTATCGGTGTCTGCGCCGACGACGTGGGCAGCGTGCTCCCGTCGCTGAAGGTGCTCCGTCCTATGAGTAGGGTGTTCTATGCGGCGGAGACTCTAGCACGGCTGGTGCTGAAGACGGCGAAGTGCAAGACCATCCCCCTTGGCGGAGGCCTACACACCTGAGGTGGAGGACAGGGTGCGAGCCAAGATCGCTGAGCTTGTACCTCGTTGGAGTGACATGACGATCACGGACGTGGCAGAGAACCTGGGTGTACTGCTGGGCCCCAGTTTGCATGACGCACACAGGTGGAAGAAGGTAATCCTGGGTTGGCAGCGGTCCACCAACCTAATCGCCGACGCCGGAGCCCCGACCAGCACCTCGCTGATGCTCTACGACCAGCGCGCTGTAAGCAAGACCTCGTGCCTCAGCCAGCTCTTCGCGCGGCCGCAGAAGATGAAGAAGAAAGAAAGCTGGGCGCTACATCGGATCTGGCACCTGCCCCCGCAAGCACGTCCACGGGATGACCTACTGGCGCTGGGCTGCTGGACGACGCTGAAGGCGGTCCCCCTCGAGCCCACAATCGTGCGGCATTGATGCGCAGTGCCGCTGACTCTGTTCTGAACTGGCCGTTCTGGGCACGGCGCCTGCGCGACGCAGCGGGGATCGGCCTCTCGTTCCACGCGCGCGCGTTTGGCTTGTTCGCCCCACTCCGCTGGAAGTCGAAGCCGATTGCCCACGCCCTCGAGAAAGCGGCGCAGGGGGTCCCCAACGACAAGAATCGTGCTATGGCCGTGGCTTGCGGCACAGCGCTGAGTGAGTGGAAAGAGGAGAAGGCCCGCCACCTCGCCGAATGCTCCACTGCTCGTTTGCGCATGCAGAAGTTTGTGCGCTCCCACCTTGTCTCATCGCTCCTCCCTGACCGCCTGCCTGTTACCTTCCTCTCTCGCCTCAACTCCTGGACGAACCCAGGCGAATCTTTTACGCTCTCACAGATCGAATGGGAGCCGCTCAAAGAGCTGCTCGTCGTGGGCTTTTCGCCTGCTGCTCACTCGGCCCTACTCAAGACCTGGGATGGGGGGATGGACTACGAGCCGCCGCCTACGCTCGAGTGACGCGCGCAGCCCCTGTGTTTTCGGCTGCCGCCAATCTGAGGACGCACGCGCCTTGGACTCCATGTCTCACTATATTCGTTGCCCACACCTTTGGCAGGCAGTAAGCACGGTGTGGCACTCGCAACTGCGTAACCCACAGTCAATTCTCGATCGCCTGGGCCTCTGCAGCGGAGAATCAGACGAGTTGCCTCAACGTCTTGCGCTTGAGCGCACAGTCATTGCTTTTCATACCTACAACATACAGGCGAAATTTCCCATTATAAGGTGCCCGAAGCGACCGTGGGCAGTGCCCGAGCTGCGAGGGCGCTCTTTATGTCAACTCACAAGGCTGTACAGTGATCATCTGGTCACTGTGCTGCGCGGAAGCACGAGCGATATATATATATATATATGTGTATATATATATATATATATATATATATATGTGCGTGTGTATATATATGAGAGTGAGGGGGCCGAACAGTCATTCACTGTCCCTGGGTGCGTGGCTGAAGTGGGATTCCGCGGTGCGGATTATCGTTGTTGTTGTTGTTGTTGTTGTTGTTGTTGTTGTTTGTTGTTGTTTGTTGTTGTTTGTTGGTGTTGTTGTTGTTTGTTGTCGTCGCCCCACCCGCAACCCGCCCCGCGACCAACCCTGCGACCCACCCCGCGACCCACCCGCGACCCACCCGCGACCCACCCGCGACACACCCGCGACACACCCCGCGACCCACCCCGCGACCCACCCCGCGACCCACCCGCGTCCCACCCGCGACCCACCCGCGACCCCACCCGCGACCCACCCCGCCACCCACCCGCGACCCACCCGCGACCCACCCGCGACCCACCTTGCGACCCGCCCGCGGTCCACCCCGCGACCCACCCGCGACCCACCCGCGACCCACCCCGCGACCCACCCCGCGACCCACCCGCGATCCACCTTCGACCCAAACCACGTTCAAGGTACAAACCGTCATTTTCGGCGCCTGCGGCGGGTTTTTTTGCATGCCTTCCAGGTGGGCAACCCGCGACCAACCCGCGACCAACCCGCGACCCAAACTACGTTCAAGGTGCAACGCGCATTTTTCGGCGCCTGCGGCGGGCATCTTTTGTTTTCGTTTCAGGTGGAGAGCCCGCGGCCCACCCGCAACCACGTTAAGGGTACAAACCAATTTTTCAGGTTCCTCCGGCGGGCATCTCTTGTATTCGTTCCCGGTGGAGAACCCGCGGCCCACCCGCGACCCAAACCACGTTCAGTGTACAAACCAATTTGTTCGGCGCCTGCGGCGGGCTGCTTTTGCATTCCTTCCAGGTGGAGGTGGAGAGCCCGCGACCCACCCGCGACCCAAACCACGTTCACTGAACAAACCAATGCCGCACAAGCGCGGCGGCGGATTTTTGCATGCCGTCTGAGCACGCAACGACCTCTTCAAGCCCCGCGCATCCACACCAGCCCGTCCAGCAACTTTGCCCTGGCGAGTTGCCTTGATCAGAGAAGTCGGGGAGCACAAAGTGGAACAAACGATTGCGTTGCCGCTATCTTGGGAAAGGATGGGGAGGCAGGAGGAGTAAGCAGGGGACGGGGAGGACGTGGAAGAAGAGAGGATGTAAGGAGAATGTGGAGAAAGAGGAGGAGGAGGAGGAGGAGCAGGAGGACGAGGAGGGGGAGGAGGGGAGGAGGGGAAGGAGGAGGAGGGAGGAGGGGGAGGAGGATGATGATGGACGACAATGGGAGGACGATGATGGAGGCCGATGAGGGGGAGGACGACAATGGGAGGACGATGATGGAAGGACGAGGGGGGAGAGGGAGGACGAGGAAGAAGAGGAGGAGGAGGACGAGGTGGAGGAGGAGGAGGATGACGATGACGATGACGATGAGGACGAGGACGAGGACGAGGAGGAAGGAGGAGGAGGAGGAGGAGGAGGAGGAGGAGAGCGCCATCGACAGGGAAGGTGGGGGCCACGAGGTCCGCCGGCTCGACGACGCCCGCGTCGCCCGCGCCCGCCCCCTCACTCTTATCCGCAATTGCGGGGTGCTACGTGTATATATATATATATATATATATATACATATACATATACGTAGCACCCCGCAATTGCGGTAAGACTGAGGGGCGGGCGCGGGCGACGCGGGCGTCTTCGAGCCAGCGGACCTCGTGACCCCCACCTTCTTTGTCGATGGCACTCTCCTCCTCCTCCTCCTCCTCCTCCTCCCCCTCCTCCTCCTCCTCCTCCTCCTCCTCCTCCTCCTCCTCCTCCTCCTCCCTCCTCCTCCTCCTCCTCCTCCTCCCTTCTCGTCCTCGTCCTCATTGTCATCGTCATCGTCATCCTCCCCCTCCTCCTCCACCTCGTACTCCTCCCTTTCTTCCTCGTCCTCCCTCTCCCCCCCTCGTCCTTCCATCATCGTCCTCCCATTGTCGTCCTCCCCCTCATCGGCCTCCATCATCGTGTTCCCATTGTCGTCCATCATCATCATCCTCCCCCTCCTCCCCTCGTCCTCCTCCTCCCCCTCCTCCCCTCCTCCCCCTCCTCGTCCTCCTGCTCCTCCTCCTCCTCTTTCTCCACGTTCTCCTTACATCCTCTTTTTTTCCGCGTCCCCCTCGTCCCCTGCTTATTCCTCATGCGTCGGGTGGGGTCGCGGGTGGGTCGCGGCTGGGGTCGCGGGTGGGTCGCGGGTTGGACGCGGGTGGGTCGCGGGGTGGGTCGCGGGGTGGGTCGCGGGGTGGGTCGCGGGGTGGGTCGCGGGTGGGTCGCGGGTGGGTCGCGGGTGGGTCGCGGGGTGGGTCGCGGGGTTGGTCGTGGGTGGGTCGCGGGGCGGGTTGCGGGTGGGACGACGACAGCAAACAACAAAACAACAAACAACAACAAACAACAACACACAGCAACAACCACAACAACGAGAATCCGCACCGCGGAATCCCACTTCTGCCACGCACCCAGGGACAGTGAATGACTGTTCGGCCCGATCATTTTGATGTATATATATATATATATATATATATATATATACGTAGCACCCCGCAATTGCGGATAAGAGTGAGGGGGCGGGCGCGGGCGACGCGGGCGTCTTCGAGCCAGCGGACCTCGTGGCCCCCACCTTCCTTGTCGATGGCACTCTCCTCCTCCTCCTCCCCCTCCTCCTCCTCCTCCTCCTCCTCCTCCTCCTTTTCCTCGTCCTCATCCCCATCGTCATCGTCATTGTCATCCTCGTCCTCCTCTTCTTCCTCGTCCTCCCTCTCCCCCCCTCGTCCTTCCATCATCGTCCTCCCATTGTCGTCCTCCCCCTCATCGGCCTCCATCATCGTGTTCCCATTGTCGTCCATCATCCTCCTCCTCCCCCTCCTCGTCCTCCTCCTCCCCCTCTTCCCCTCCTCCCCCTCCTCGTCCTCTTGCTCCTCCTCCTCCTCCTCCTCTTTCTCCACATTCTCCTTACATCCTCTCTTCTTC